ATCAAAGGGGTTAAAATGACTAATTTCAGACATTTTATTTTTACAATTTCTGTGAGAACATAACTCCTTTTGATAAAATTTATGCCTACCTTCGTTCAGATCGAAACATAATTGTCTATAATTATTCGTCTTCCTCGCGCCGCTGCGAATATTTTAATTTACCTAAAATATGTGTAGCCTCTCAAGAGAAATTAATAATTCTAGTGTTAAAAATGGTCCTTTGAGCTATAATTGCCCATAATAATTATTCGTCTTCCGCGTACCACTTCGATTATCTTCATTTATCTAAAATATATGTAGCCTCTAATTAAAAATTGGTAATTCTAGTGTTAAAAATGGTCCTTTGAGCTATAATTGTCCACAATAATTATTTGTCTTCCACGTACCACTTCGATTATCTTCATTTATCTAAAATATATGTAGCCTCTAATTAAAAATTGGTAATTCTAGGTTAAAAATGGTCTTTTAAGCTATAATTGTCTATAATAATTATTTGTCTTCCTCGTACCACTTCGATTATCTTCATTTACCTTAAATATATGTAGCCTCTAATTAAAAATTGGTAATTCTAGGTTAAAAATGGTCTTTTAAGCTATAATTGTCTATAATAATTATTTGTCTTCCTCGTACCACTTCGATTATCTTCATTTACCTTAAATATATGTAGCCTCTAATTAAAAATTGGTAATTCTAGGTTAAAAATGGTCTTTTAAGCTATAATTGTCTATAATAATTATTTGTCTTCCTCGTACCACTTCGATTATCTTCATTTACCTTAAATATATGTAGCCTCTAATTAAAAATTGGTAATTCTAGGTTAAAAATGGTCTTTTAAGCTATAATTGTCTATAATAATTATTTGTCTTCCTCGTACCACTTCGATTATCTTCATTTACCTTAAATATATGTAGCCTCTAATTAAAAATTGGTAATTCTAGGTTAAAAATGGTCTTTTAAGCTATAATTGTCTATAATAATTATTTGTCTTCCTCGTACCACTTCGATTATCTTCATTTACCTTAAATATATGTAGCCTCTAATTAAAAATTGGTAATTCTAGGTTAAAAATGGTCTTTTAAGCTATAATTGTCTATAATAATTATTTGTCTTCCTCGTACCACTTCGATTATCTTCATTTACCTTAAATATATGTAGCCTCTAATTAAAAATTGGTAATTCTAGTGGTGAAAATGGTCCTTTGAGCTATAATTGTCTATAATAATTATTTGTCTTCCTCGTACCACTTCGATTATCTTCATTTATCTAAAATATATGTAGCCTCTAATTAAAAATTGGTAATTCTAGTGTTAAAAATGGTCTTTTAAGCTATAATTGTCTACAATTATTCGTCATCCTCGTACCACTACGATTATCTTCATTTACCTTAAATATATGTAGCCTCTTATTAAAAATTGGTAATTCTAGTGTTAAAAATGGTCCTTTCAGCTATAATTGTCCATAATAATTATTCGTCTTCCGCGTACCACTTCTATTATTTTCATTTATCTAAAATATATGTTGTCTCTAATTAAAAATTGGTAATTCTAGTGTTAAAAATGGTCCTTTGAGCTGTAGTATGCTTACTGTTAACTCGCACTGAAAGACAATTGTCCAACGACTCTCGTTGAAACTGCAAGCCAAAAAGCTCAATGAGAGTCCTCTATCAGAATCCTTCATCAGAGTCCTCCATCAGAGTTCTCCATCGACATTTTCCGCTAGCAACGTTCTCATTTGCAATCTTTTCGTCGCATGACGTTGCAAATACGAAGAGAGGAGCGAGAATTCTCTCGGTTAACTGTATATTTAAGTCGGGCCGTGGAAACGGTGCTTCGATGCTTTTTACGTTTCATGCTCCCGCCAATGGTGCGTATGGTGTGTTTGGGTTGGAAGGAAGTCGATGGGAGATCGGAATGAGCTCGCGTGCGACCCGACTGTCTGGAAGGGGATTTCATGTGGCTTTCGACTTGCCTTTTTTTCCCCAGTAACTGGACTTGAACGTTGTTTATCTGACCTGTGCAACGTGGAATGCCGGTTACCGATCATATCTCTCTGCTGGATCGAAAAACCCTCGATTTATGGGATTTTATTTACTTCGCGTGAGAAATCGGGCTATCGGGGGTGCAGGTTAACCGGTATAATTACAGGTGTAATTGATCGTATTTGAAGCTTAGTGGGTTGATGCAGAGATAATGTTTGGGTGATTGAATTAGGTGGATGTGGACGGGAAGCTGATAAGGTGTTGAGCAATTGGAGTTTATAACGGGTGGGTTAAAGGTGTACTTGCTTGGACTTCAATCCGAGAATTTTTTGGATGAAATTCATTTTTTAAATTAATTTTTCTCTGTATATGTGGAAATAATTGGCTCGAATTTTATTCCAAATGATTTTCTACGGTTTAAGTATGAAAAATTGTTCATCGGGAAAATATTTTTATATCCAAGAATTTTTTGGATAAGATTCACTTTTTAAATTAATTTTTCCCGGTATAGATGGAAATAATTGGCTCGAATTTTATTCTAAATTATTTTCTATGGTTTAAGTACGAAAAATTGTTCATCGGGAAAATATTTTTATATCCAAGAATTTTTTGGATAAGATTCACTTTTTAAATTAATTTTTCCCGGTATAGATGGAAATAATTGGCTCGAATTTTATTCTAAATGATTTTCTATAGTTTAAGTATGAAAAATTGTGCATTAGGAAAATATTTTTACTTATCGTTGAATAAACGTTTCAGATATTTTGGAGGAAAATTTTAATTTGTAATTAAATTGGAATTTTTGTTATTATTTGAAATTGGAGAGTAAATTGAAGCTTCTAAAATTAGTGCAGCGGTGTCCATTTTGGCGACATATCTGGATACTCGTCTGTGTGGGTGACTTCGGAGAATTCGACTGATGGATGGAGAAAGAAGGAGTGTGAGTGAGATATCGGTATTTCATGCGATATATCGCGTATATACACATCAATGACGAATTAATATCGAAGGCACTCCCTGAACTCGGTTCCAAGAATTGGTGGGGATAGCAATGGACGCTAAAGTGGGCAGAATTCCGGTCGCATACACAGTACTGTGTATAACATCTATTTATGAAATGGATCTTCAGAAAATTCCAAAAAGTGAACCCTCAGAAAATTCCTGAAAAATAAATCTTCAGAGAATTTGAGAAAATGAATTTTCAAATAATGTTAAACAAAAATTAAAAATTTTCTATTATTGCGTAAGAAATTTATTAATGTTTTAGGTTAATATTTATTAATATTACGTATATCGTGTTATGTGTGTGTTAGAAAGGTTATTTTAATATTTTACATTAAATGATAGTGCATTATACTGATATTTTTCCGTAAACACTGCTTTCAGAAATTTCCCTCCGGGGATTACGTATCATCGATAGGATCCTAAACTTCCATGTACAACATAGTTCCATTAAAGTTACATACATCTTGCTTCTGTAACGAAATTAATAGTTCCCATAAATCTTTCACTACCTTCCCATAACTTCAGTTTAAACCCTTCGAAGACACCATTTCCATAAATCTTTCCTCGAAAACTTCTACCTGCGAGAGAAATTGAAAACTCCTGTTCGCAAGATAACGTCATTACTATGACGCTTTTTATCCCTGTATAACAAAATTCTAAACATCTTAGGAATCCGTCGTTTCGTCTATGCAATTTTACCTCGTGCCAATTTTACAAACATTTATTTCTAAGCATTTATCCATTTATTGGTTATAATCTCCTTTCATATGGGAAAATTAAAATTTTCCATGAATGTTACAAACTTCCTATGTCGATGTTACGAACACAACCTTTAATGTTATATATATCGAATTCCCTTGTATAAAAGAAATTAAAATTCCCATAAATCCTCCATTTCCTTTTCACAACTTTATCTTGTAACCTCTGAAGGTAACATTTACAAAAATACCCTTTACAGAAATTTCAATGTAAAAAATTTCCCATTCCCATTGACACACCACTACTTTTGACACAGCACTGAGGACACTCTTGTACCTTAGAAGAAAATTCAAAATTCTCAAATACTCTTTATTTCTTTCCTATAATGCCATCTCATGGTCTCTAGAGGTACCATTTACAGAATTTTTAATGTAAAAATTTTCCAATTCCCATTGACACACCACTACTCTTGACACAGCACTGGGGACACTGTTCTACCCTATAAAAGAATTAAAAATTCCCAAGAATCCTTTATTTCTCTTCTATCACGCGACACCTCAGTCTCTAAAGGTGCCATTTACAAAAATTTCCATGTAAAAATTTTCCAATTCCCATTGACACACCACTACTCCTGACACAGCACTGAGGACACCCTTCTCCCCTTTATGAAAATTAAAAATTCCCAAATATTCTTTATTTCTCTCCTATAACGATACCTCATGGTCTCTAGAGGTACCATGTACAGAAATTTCCATATAAAATATTTCGAATTCCATTGATACAACACTGGTGACACTCTTCTACCGTATAGAAAAATTAAAAATTTCCAAGAATCCTTTATTTCTCTTCTATCACGCGACACCTCAGTCTCTAAAGGTGCCATTTACAAAAATTTCCATGTAAAAATTTTCCAATTCCCATTGACACACCACTACTCCTGACACAGCACTGAGGACACCCTTCTCCCCTTTATGAAAATTAAAAATTCCCAAATATTCTTTATTTCTCTCCTATAACGATACCTCATGGTCTCTAGAGGTACCATTTACAGAAATTTCCATATAAAATATTTCCAATTCCCATTGACACACCACTACTCTTGACACAACACTAACGGCACCCTTCTACCCTATAAAAAAATTCAAAATTCCCAAGAATCCTTTATTTCTCTCCTATCACGTCACCCCATCGTCTCCGGAGGTACCATTAACGAAAACTTCCATTCGTAAATGCCCACTTACAAAGAAAACTCTAGCATTCTTCCAGCGTTAAGAGAACAACGTTACTCACACAGATTCCTATCTTGGTCATTTTTCAGGCAACGAGATGAATTACAAGGGCAGCGGGAAGGTCCACTTCGGAGTGGACGATGTGTCCCTCTACGGGACGCCGAAGGAGGAGCCGGGCCCGGGTCTTCCGGGCCAGGAAGTGAAGCAGAGCTTCTTGAAGAACCAGCTTCAGGCCCTGTTCCAGCCTACGGACAACAAGCTGGCTATGAAGCTGTTCGGCAGCAAGAAGGCTCTGATGAAGGAACGGATCAGGCAAAAGGCTGCAGGTCACTGGGTCATCCATCCTTGCTCCAGTTTTCGGTGAGTCCTTCCACCAGATATCAAACCGCTTCACCTTGACAGGCAACGAGATATCGACCGTGTCTCGATTCTCCAGCTAGATGGTTTCTAGCCATGCTGACTCTGCCCCTTGTCCTGCTCTCGAAGCTTGGTTTTCTATGAGAAACACGATCTTGACTAGGGTCTTGGTAGGCTCTCCTAATAGGGAACAGCATTCTTCTTCAAAGCATTTTCTAATTCTCCTATTTCAACCCTTTTATCAGCAATACTATTGTGTCGATCCTTTGTCCATTATGGGCCTCTTTGTCCATGCTCGGATTGTAAATTAAACACTCTTCTAAATTTTAAATGCAGTAACAAGGAGAACATGATTAAATTCTTCATCCCATACTCTGTGAATTCGAAGAAAATAAATAGTCAATTTCTGATGAATTTATTTTTAAATATGTAAGCATGTGAAAGGATCAGAGACACTGTTATTGACAGAATATTGCACCAACGCTTGGGTATATCGAAATACATACAATTGTAAAAATTAATTTTACGATTTCTGAACATATCGTAGTACCTAGAAAAGGAATTGCAATACTTGAAAAATATTCAACATTATTTATAAATTAGTGTAGGGGTCAAAAGGGACCCAACTCTTCGATAATGGTATTAACATTCATTCTTCGTAATATATTTTTGCTCGCTATTAAATCGTTGTTTAAGCGGTTAGAGTGAATATGAGTTAATGCTAACTTATCCTTTCTTTCGCTCAGACTACGAGACTCTTATGGCCTGCGCGAGGCTGAGTTATTGCTACCTGAGACTTCCGGTTATAAGCCTGGTGCTTTGTAGCATACTGTCTAAACTTAGAAACGTGGTGCAATGGTATATTAATAGAGACGTTAAAGAAATTCACGTAGGTTGTGTGCAACCTTTCTTCCTAGCTACATTTAAAGCAAGTTGTTCAACAAAATGCCACATTCGCTGTGGGAAACGTGTTTCTCGTTAATGGGAAAAATGTTGAAGCCGTTGACTCGCGATATTTAAAATCTGGATCGCCATATTTGCAAATGATCAATTTGTCTATGGTTAATTCGGTTTATTTGTTATTACCGGTTCTAAATTGGTTATTAATTATGTTTATCCGGCTTTCAAAAAATACAGCTCTCGTTTAAGGACTGATGATCTGACGGGTTCGATGGAAATAAGTATATACCGGCTGGGTCATGAATATTTGCACTTAGAATTCAAAGTTAATTTTAACCTCCGCGGTTAATTTCAATAAACACTTAATTAAACAAGCTACGCGGTCTTATTTTAACGTGGTTGCGAAAAAGAAACGAGCAAAATTAATAGCCCGCGCTGTGTAAATCTTTGGTAGGTTCGGTGTTAATAATTAACAGACGCGGAGCAAAAAGTACCAAGCACCGATTCAAGCTCGGTTTCGATCGCGTCGGGAACTCAACTACCTTGAACGAGCGTCCAATTTATATGAAAAATAAATTGCAGTAGGTTTCACAAGATCCATAAGATTGTTTCGTAGCCGGCTTAATTAATCCGCGAACCAAGGTGCTCAACAGCTAATTAATCTGCCCAAGAAAAACAAGGAACGAAACGAAGAATCTGTCACAAAGTTTGCCAGTAATTTAAATCGAAATTTCTTATATCCCTCGAGAATTCGAAATTTTATAAGCAACTTCGGAATTTTAATTTCTCCGACGCGACAAAATAATAGACCCTATGATCTTCGTTTAGAAAAGAAATTTTTACTGAAAACAGTTTCGAATTTTTTGAATTAATCTTCTAAATTATTCAAAAAAGGATTCTTCATACAATTACGTGGCAAAATTTACGTACACTGCATTGTCTTCAGAAGCATCCAGGAATATAAGACAGGCCGCCATTTTGTTACATCTATCTTTTACGTATTCGGATTAAATTTGTGAAAAAGGGAAAAATATAAATTGAGATTAATATTTATTCTATATTATTGAGAAAATGGTGCTTTTTGTAATTATATATGTACGTAAAATTTGCAAATATTGCATCGTCAGTATAAATTCTAAACTCCGCAGCCATTTTGTCGTGCACCCACGTGCCGTTGATGTGCGTGTAATGCGAGACACAGGGGTGGTTGGAGAAGGTGTTGTGGATTTTCTGCAATTTGTTTTCGTCCTGGCTCGGTTTTTGTCCGATCTCAAAGCAACATTCCTCGACGATCGCTAACGAGGAGTGAATTTGGAGGATCCATCGCGCGGCTACCACTCCTGTCTGGCCTAATTACCAATTAAAACGTCTAATTAGAGTGCCCCGCCGAGAGAGCAGATCCGAATCGAACGGAACAGTTGCGTCGAAGGTTTTCTTCATCGCGATTGCGCGCTGATCGGCTTTGACCCAGTTCGCAATCTTGCCGGAGAAAACAATCGATGATAAATCTGGCCACGTTGGTAACGCACGATTCTACGAACGCGATCATCTTCCAGAGATTTGCATCTTGAAAAAAAATTTTTTTCATATTTTTTTATAAAATTGGAAATTTCGGGGAGGAGGATATTCGTTTTATGCTTTGAGATTAAGAAAGGATTGTATTATACGTAATGATTATTCGATTATAGCGTTCGTGGTTGGTCACGTGTGCTGGAGTCGATATTTGGTAGATGGAGCTGGGTTAGTTTAAGTGAGGTTAGGTTTAAGATGATAAGCCGAGGTATAATACGGATTTTTGAAGTTATTATATATTGTTTATAAAAGATTATTGTTATTCATTCGCAATCTTTTATTTGAAAATTAACATTTACTAGGTTAGGTTAGATTAAGATTTGTTGCGAGTTGAATTCAGGATAATTAAGAAACCATACTTTAAATAAGGTTAAGATCAGTTATGAGATTGTTATTCATTCGCAATCCTTTATTCAGGAATTGAAATTTACTAAGTTAGGTTAGATTAAGATTTGTTGCGAGTTGAATTCAGAATAATTAAGAAACCATACGTTAAATAAGGTTAGGATTAGTTGCAATATTGTTATTTATTCTCAATCTTTTATTCGAGAACTGAAATTTACTAGGCTAGGTTAGGTTAAAATTCGTTGCAACTTGAATTCAGGATAATTAAGAAACTATACGTCAAGTAAGGTTAGGATTAATTATGATATTGTTATTCATTCTCAATCTTTTATTCGAGAATTGAAATTTATCAGGTTAGGTTATTTTAACATTTGTTGCGAGTTAAATTCTGGATAATTAAGAAACCATACGTTAAGTGAGGTTAGGATTAGTTATGAGGGTGATAAATAGTAATTAAGGAACATGTTTCATTTCATATTTGGACACATATTGGAAATACGAAGTTTATTCATATATTCTATCAGGTTAGATTAGGTTAATATTAACATCGTATTTCGAAAATGAAATACGTGACGTTAAGTTCCTATCAGAGTGACTTGGTGTGAAATTAAATGTCGTATCGAAGGAGTTATATTTTTCTATGTTTGTACAAATATTTTTCTCATAAAGCAAACACGAAATGGGAAGTGTCGCAGTCAGGCAACTTTTCTCCCAGACACTTGTATAACTAGTTCAGTATTCGAAACTTCCTTAGGCCTCGCGATTAAAATTTCAAAACCCGAACAAGCATTATTATTGCATGACTACTGAGTGACTGGATTGCTTCCTTTTGAACCAAGAAGAAATTTATCGAAAGTCCGACAGGGCAGATAGTGGCATCAATATTTACTAACAGCTGCCAAATCCTAGAGGATACCAAATTTCAAATTGAAAACTTGTGATCTCGTTAAAAGTTCAGGAACTGTCATATTGATACCTAAAATAAGGAATATAAAAATAACTGCGGAAGCACAATTTAAATTATTATATACATAACCTATAATATAACTATTTCCCTAAATATAAATGACAGGAAATATTCGAAGCCCAAACCCAATAATTCCACGCAAACAAAATAATAAAATTAAATAATTTTTAAAAGTATATAAAATTCTATTACCTATATGTATATTTATTAAATAGAAGCCTATGGCATGACTATTTCTCCATAAACTAAAAGTATTAAAAATATTCCAAATTCAATAATCTCATACAAACGAAATAATAAAATTAAATAATTATTAAATACGAATAAAATTATATTACACATATAAATTAATATTCTTTATTAAAAAGAACTATTTCTCTATGTACCAATTGCGAAAGCACCCTTTAAAAAATAAGGAAGAAAATATTCAAATATCCCAAGTCGAAAAATTTCACAGAAACGAAATAATAAAATTAAATAATTCTTAAATACGAATAAAATTATATTTCGGATATAAATTAATATTCTTTATTAAAAAGAAACCCATGCCATAATTATTTCTCCATATACCAACTGCAAAAGCACCCTTCAAAAAATACGAAAGAAAATCTTCAAATATCCTAAACCCAATAATTTCGCACGAACAAAATGAAATAATTCTTGAAAGTATATAAAATTAGATCTCACACCTGGGTAATTCTACCTATCCAAAATTCTACAGATATCTGTCTCGATTCAACATGTTCGCAAACTTCCGTTCCCCTGTTCCATTCCCGTGGCAAAACAAAACGATGCAACAATGTATTCAAAGTCACCAAGCAGAGATTTCGCACTCGTCCCCGCAGCGAGGTTGCAAATCTTCCATTGTGATGCAAATGACACGGTCGCGATAGCGGCGCCAAAATGGCGTCTTGTTATTACGGACATGGTTGTAGCCGGCGTCAGCGGAGTGCAAAGGGTTAAAATTTCTTCGGTGTTTCCCCTGTATCCTCGCGTGTCAGCCACGTTGGAAGAATTATAGACGCTTCGGGGATCCCTGACCTCCGTCTTCCGGGACAGGATAAAGCACTTTCGCGTATCGGGGTCGAATTCCTCGTGAGGCTTGGCCAGCTAGGTCTGAGGAACCGGAATGCGTCTCAGTGTCGCGACATATTTCGAGGAAAGGCCGAACAAAGAGGATATTCTTCCTGCGGGAACCGGATAACGCGTTCCATTGGAC